GAATTTCCTCTTTGAAGCCTTCTGAAACTACCAAGAAGTTATGTCACTCTTGGTGCAGCTATAGCAGTTTGAGCATCCTGGAGCCCTCATTCAACATTGGGAGTTTTGTTACTGTTGCATTTTGAGGGAGAAAAATTAAAACAAAATGAATTTTAGTGATTTAGACAAAAAAAAAAAAAAAAAAAAGCTTTGTGCTCGCTTTCTCATGTCTCAATCCATGTTCAAACTCATCCCAGGAATTATCGGGATGACTCCTAGGTGGAGGCTGTGAGTGGCAAAGCTGTCTTTCCCTCTACAAAGCCTAGCCTTGCTTTTCCTCAGACTTGGTTTTATAGCCTGTAAGAAGTTCCCAAGCCTTATATGACAAACAACTACCTAATCGCATAAAGCTTTATAGTTAATCTACCATTAGTAGTTAATGGTAGTTAATCCACCATTAAAAAGTTCAAGAAGACTGAGGTTGGTTTTTGGGCCACTCTTCAATTGACATTTTCCATGTTGACTGTACCGATAGTTTGATGTGGATGCTATATTTTAGCACACGCAGAAAGAATAACTATCAAATCCCACTCAATCGTATAACCTTGATCAACACACGGCTCTCCAGGATCTGTGAACTTCTTTGATGACTTCCTTCAGGAGGAACAACATGGATGATGTAGTGAAAGAGAAAAGGCAGCCCAATCCTTAAATCAAGCCCTGTGATCAGTGTCACAGTAAGAATATCCCCAACCCAGCCAAGTCCCAGGTGGGAAGAGGCTCACCAATGGGTTGTTTGATCAAAGAGGGTTCCTTGATGATGAGCATGCTCTATAGGCATGGTGTTACATTCCCCAAGGATGTCAAGGTAACACTTTTAAAAAATTCCTTTAATCTATACAAATTTTTCATCACAACAAAATTTTTTTCTAGGAGACAGAGAAAGATAAATGCTTGAATGTTATCAAATGACCAACACATTAATAATAATTTTTATATTTGTATAGTGTTTTATAGTGTATGAAACATTTTCATATATGCCATCATGTTTTAGGAATATGCTAAGACTGGCAATATTATGTCCATTTTATTGCAAAAGTCACTGAGACTCAGGGTATATGATTGGCTCAAGGTCACAC